GCACATCTAAGGCATCTCCTCGAAGAGCTATAGTCAGGTTTACAGCCTTTTCTTTTTCAGACCATCCATTCGCTCTTGCAGCTGATTCGAACTGTTTCATGTAGTTGTTCCATGATGATTTTCCGTCGAAAGTTGGGACTTTGACATGAACGGAACTTCCACTTCCTTCACATTTCGGCCGTGTTTCCAACTTACATTTCGTCTCCTCTTCTTTTGTCTCTGCTATAATTGGATTGTTTTCTCTCTCTGCTGTCCCTGTTTCCTCCATCTTCCTTTCCATCTCTTTTATCTTCTCTTCGAAGGCCAACATATCGGCAGCAACTTGGTTCTTTAATGAAGACATTTTATCGTCGAGGGCAGACATCTCAGAGGTGACTTTAGAGATGTTAGCAGAAACCTTGCTTTCCAGAGAAGAAATCTCGTTAGAAACTTTGCTTTCTAAAGAAGCGATATCACAGGAAACCTTGGCTACATCACCACAGACTTTGGCTACATCTGAAGAAACTTTCGAAATATCTTCAGAAACCTTGTTCTCTAATTTCGAAATCGACGAGATGACAACAGCAACCTGCTTGTCTTCAAATATATGAGTTTCCGGATCCAAACCTTCTTCTTTTAAAGCGTTCTTTAGTCGTTGGACTAACTCAGCCTTTTTTCCGGTAGAAGCTAATTCTCTGTCTTCAAGATGTCTTCTTAAATCCGTAACTGTGAGCTCATTAATTGTAGCCATATTTCACTTCTTTTTATTTCAAATTCAAATTAGATTTATTTAAAATCCCGCTTTTTATTTGAATATTCCACTTCTGACTCCACTGTTATATATATTTATATTGTTCTAATTTATTTGTCTTTATTCTAATTTATTGTCTATAATCTAATTTATTAAAACTCACGATAGCTAATTACTAATTTAATAAATAACTTTTACAAATGTATTTATTTCACGTTTCGTACAAGTAAACCGCGTTTACCGATCTTCTTATGACTGACTGCCAAATAAAAATCTTTCATTTATATACACAACTGTGTCATCTAGAGAATTCGGCAAACTTCCTGAATAGTCTCGTATTTTGGTGAAGGCGCTCGACTCGTTCTTCAACCTCGAGACGTGGATGACTCACTAAAATTAGTGTCTAGAGATTTCTGGTAAACAACTGGTAGCTAAGCTCAGGTATATTTTGACCTACAAATTACGAGAATCAATAAAAAAGAATTAGTCATAAAATATTTACAGTTCTATATGCCATAACATTTAAAATCGTAACAGTAGTTTTAGTCATTGCTATTCTACGTTTCATTTCTATGTCTGGATCTAGTTGGTACGTTATCACAGTTCCCAAATATGTCATTTTGTGAACTTTCTCAACTTGAACTCCGTTTAATTGAAGCTTTGCATCGGGATGTGGGTCACGACTAAACACTAAAAATTTGGTTTTGTTTGAATTTATTTTAATGCCCATTTCCTCTCCTACCTATGAATACGATCAAGCAGAATTTGGAGACCTTCAATATTGCCTGACAGAATTACTGTATCGTCTGCATATCTAATGACATTAAGTAGTTCTCCGTTGATTTTTATTCCATATGGTTGTCTCTCAAGTGACTTTTTAAATAACTGGTCCGAGTAAACATTGAACAATGTTGGCGACAAAATGCAACTTTGTCTGACTCCTCGTTGTATGGAGATTGTATAGTTATCTCCAATTTTTACGATAGCAATTTGATTCCAGTATAAATTTTTAATGGCACGAATATCCTTGTCTATTATGTCTATTCCGATATCTTTCATTTGCATTAATTTTACATACTGTAATTTATCTCCAGTCACGCTTAAGTTTATTATTATTTTGTCGGAAACAGTGTCTACCATCCCATATTTTCTCTTCTTCCTTGATCACATGAGCTACGGCATTAGCCACAGCCACCTTTACTTCCAAGCCATGAAGTAAAAAAGGCAACACCGCATTCTATGACGTCGGTAGTCCGATAATCAGCTGTAAGGTCTACCAGAATATTAAACTGAATTTTAGGAAACTGATATTTTAAAAACTTCAATTCATTACAGAAATATTTTTAGGGAAATTAAATTAATAAAACCTTATATATACCTAGTAAATATATATAAAGTTTTATTATTATTTAGGTTATATTATCAATAAAATAATCACTAGAGTAAAATTTATTGCACTTAAAATACAGTGTCAAACAGTTAATCTTACAATCAAATGCAGTCAAGAATCTCTAGAAATTTTAAATATTAAGTACTTAAGCATATATTATTATATAACACAATACAACGACATTTAAAAAGATTATTAAAAATACAAAAGATATAAAAAAGTAAAAACTTAGTGTAACTATTATGATTAAAAAATTCATCCTAAGAAATCAGACACAATATAAATATGGTTCTAAATTAATCTAATTGAAAATTAAATATTTTACTATTTACTTATAACTTTTGTTGAATTTTCATACTTAGATATACAAAAGTAGCAATTTTAAATATGAATTGGTTTGTTGTCATATAGACTAAGTTAAAAGAGGTATACATGAAAAATGTGTTGAATGTAACATACCATTTATAACTTGTATATCGATTTAAAATAGCCTATATTCTCAAAAGATTTTTGAATGTAATACTCAAATTTGTTATCACTTATCTAAAAAGCAGATCTAAATGAGAAAGTAAGTTCTCTAATTGTGACCATCTTGTTAATTTACTATATTGTAAAATCCATTTCAAATCATTAACACTTAATCTATTCTTACCTACATTGACGATTGCACTAAAATTACTGCTAACTATTACACAAATATTATCACACTTGTGTCCAAACTGATTAATGTTTAATACATAGAAATATACACAGTCACTTGTAATTTTACTTGTCCAGTTTTTCAATGGGATATTATTGTCTAAGTCTAATTGACATAATTATGTTATCTCTTGTTCCCTCTTCTTATGCAAAAAGTTTCTTCTGTCTTCGGGATTCCTTCTTTCTTTAGTACGATGAACAGTTACATATGATGGTACTTCAGGAAATATATTAGGAACTGCATTGCCTTTTAATTTGGGAAATATTAACTTTTCAATGTGTACATTTCCATCTTTATCTTCTCATTGTTCAGTCCGCTGAATATCATCTTCATGAAAATGTTTGGCACATACTACGGAAGATTTGGTAATTGTACAGCCTTCTCTATGAATAGAGCATAACCCAGTATACCTTCTTTGGGGATCTTTGGGAAACAAAAACATACTTTCTGCCTGTTTCGTTTTTAAAGTACTGGCATAATTGGTTTTGCAACCAGGTACACAACAATGCCAGAGCATCTGTAACAAAAAACAAAAGTATTATTATTGTTGTTTTTAGTTTACATATTTTGTAACAAGAAGCAAAAGTATTATTATTTTCAGTTTGTTTTGTAGGTTATATTTATACTTGCCTTTTAAATTGTCGTTAAGAATCTTTTAAAAGTTCTAAATTTAATGAAATTTCACTTATATTAATATTTTCTAATTGATTTAAACACAATTTACAAATAAAACATTCGAATAAAGTAAAAAAAAAAACAATAAATTCAACAAACTTTACAAGCCTTCCTATATGAAATGTTAAACCAAAACAAACCACAGTCGGACTACCACGCGTTGTTGCCAAATTTCTACTTCATGGCTTGGAAGTAAAGGTGGCTGTGCATTAGCCCAAGCTTCTTTCCGTATCCGTTCCATTGCTAGTTCTACAAAACGTTGGACATCAGAAATTTTATATATCACGTTTTCACGAGCTATGAAACACTTTATTTGAGCCCAGATTAATTTTATCGGATTTAACTCGCAATGGTAAGGAGGAAGTCTCAAAATAGTGATGCCTTTAGCACTAGCCATTGTATCTACAACATGCTGGCGATATCTGTAACGATGCTGTCTAATTACACTTAGCCTTAACCATGTCCTCGGAAAATGGAATTCCTTTTTCTCTTAACCAACTCTCCATATCTGCTTTCTGGTTACCATAGTTGGCACATGTTCTACTAATCGGCTGTGATAAGAAGCATTATCCGTCACTATTATCGAATTTGGCTCGACTCGTGAAGGAAGGGATTCAAACCATGTTTCAAAACGTTGGGCGTCTATGTCTTCATGATAATCCCCCGTTTTCTGAGATAAAAAAAAATTAGTGCACTATCGTCTAAAAAGCCACTCTCACTATCTATATGGGCGACAATCAGTCGTTGTCCTTTACCCGTTGGTCCTCGTAACCTTGTTGATAAACCATCCACAAATGCTTGACGATAACTCGTTATAGTAGTACCTTGCCAGATCTTAGATACTATGTGACCAGCATTTACCCACGTTTCGTCCAGATAATAAATCTTTGTGTGGGCAGAACAAACCTCTCTAATAGAGCTAAGATATTTTCGTCGTCATGAGACTATATTTTCTCTTTCTATTAAGAAAGATTTACGGGATCGTTTGGCACATAAATTTATATATAAATAAATAATATAAATATTAAATCCAATATTTATCCAATAATTTTTCCAAATACGTAAATATATAGTCTAGCAAAATGTTGATAAACTTACCGATGTTTCAAAGTATTTAACTGAACTGGTCCAACTATACGCTCGAAAAACGCAATGGTATGCACAATTTATACTGTTACGGGGGCAAATTTTACGGATTTTATCTTATATTTCACTTATTTACATTGGCGAGGCTTACACAATAAAAACGACCCCGCTAAGATTTTACTCCTAATATTTAGATTTGTTGCCGTTAGCTCTCAGTTCAATTTGTAGATGAATCACCTTTAATTGAAAATTGTCCGACTATATAAAATATTTAAATACTTGACAACAATGCAGTGAATTTAACGTTAGGTATCTAATGATTGACTCTTGACGTTTAGAGAAGAAATGAGTTATGTATAATAATATAAAATTTGATCAACGCTCAACAAGCTACTTCTCATTTGTCGTACTGTACTTACTTTTATTTTGTCCGTCTACATAATTTAATCTGCGTAACAATTCGATTCTATTTTCATAATCAGGATAAAGAGATAAACTTGCATTCGACAATTGGAATTCTAAATCTTTCTTCTTCTCCTCTAGAAATTTTCTGGAGAAAACAATCCAGAACTGTCGATCGAAATTAGGAATTCTCGTACTAGGTAAATGGTCGATTAACTTGTCTTTTATTTCATACATTTTTTGTAGACCCATATAGAGTTCTTGGTCGTTTACCTAAAAATAGCGTATTTATCACATATAAATGGTTAAACTAAAAATATAAAAATTCCGCTGCTACTATTCATACTTCAACAGTTCCATTATTATTTTTCATATACATAAAATAAAGTATTGAAGCTATTAATATCGATCGGTATTACCTTTAAATCTATAATAAAATGTAAGAACTCCAACGTGCCCTTATCGTTGTTGGCCAACATCGTTAGTTTATGTAATTCCTGAACAGTTTCAACACAGGTTTGACCTACTGGATCATATTTAAATCGTTCCATTTGTCGTTTTTCAACATCTTTCATAACCAAATCAGTGTTTATCTAAAACCAGAGAATTTCAAATAATCAATTTATGACCTTTTTTTAGTAGTAATAAAGAATAACGTTACAGTCAATTCTCAGCTTGGGAATATTTTGAGAGTAATTGTCAAAAAACATAACACAAAAATTCATATCGCTCTCTTAATAGCTAAAATAAAGTTTTTGCTGTTCTTTAATTGGAAAAAAAAATGGATAATCATGAACAGAGTCGGGAAAATATGCAAAAGTGCATATGCATTTGTCATTTTTGTTTGAATTGTGCATACACTAATACATTTTCAAAGAAAAGTGAATAGTAAACTGGGTGTAGGGGTCATAACTATAGAGAGGGAAGATGGCAATTGGTACGTCCCCTTTCTCGACATAAGGATGATCAGGGAAAACAACAACATTAAAATATATTAGTATCAAAAACCGACCCATTATGGTAGATACCTTAACTACTACTCTTATCATAATAATTCTACCAAAGTCAACTTAATCAAACAGATAAAAAATAGAGTAATAAAACTATCAGATCCTTCATTTCATACAAAAAACCTACAAATGCTACAGAAACTTTTTATTTCAAACGCTTATATAACACCATTAGTAAATAAGATTTTGTTTAACACTATCCATAACGAAGATACTTCACCTTCCTTCGCGACTAACAATGCTGATCCTGATGTCTTAAGTGGAAACCCAGTCTTGGATACTTTTATCAACAAATATTTTTTATTACCATATTTCAGAGATATCACTCCGGGGTTAACAAGGATTCTGAAAAGTGTTGAAAATAGCTTTGGTAATAATAATAACAACATTAAACTTAATGTGGCTTGTAGATCAGGCCTAACAATTAATAATCTTTATTCTAATATAAAAGATAAGACTCCCATATTACAATAAACAATATTAATAACAATTAATAATCTTTATTCTAATATAAAAGATGACTCCCATAGGCTTAGTAACATTGTCACAACCTTCCATGCCTGTCTTGCAGCAATTCCTACATCGGTCAAACATCTCAATTATTGAAATCACGTATTACACTACACAAAAGTGATTATCGACTTCACCCTGACCGCAGTGCATTAGCCAAACATGTCCATTCCACTGGTCATCTCATGGACTATACTAACACTACAATTCTCCACCGTGAGAACAATAAATCTAAAAGAGAGTTAATTGAAGTATCTCATATTTTCCTTAACGATTTCTCCATCAATGTTAAGAGTGACATTAAGAATCTAAGCGATATATACCACTTCTTACTTAAATCAGATACCAAGAACAATACAACATCACAGATAACTAACTTGGCTGATATATCCATTAACAACTAACCTACTTAATATTAGTTTTCATTAACTAAAAAATATAACATTCCCTTGCTTTTCTTAGATAAATCTCAATAAGATATGATTATAATAATACATGAACAATATAATATAATTAAAAAAAAATTCAATTAAGAAAATCTAAAATATTTCCCCAAACTGGGATTTAACTTCATTCGGTTTTACCAATGAACCATAACGACATAAAGATTCAAAAACTCTACTTGAAGTGTCGGCACATGCGTTCTGATTCTGAACAGAACCACACATTTAAACTTTCTAACAATCAAAAATTTAGTTATTTCCGACAATTGAAAGAATTACTTCCTTTTAAATGTAGTTACATTGGGTTTTTTACAAGTTACGGTAAAATCAAATGTTTTTTAATAGATAATGTATGGTAGCTAATTATAATTTGGGGGATAAAGGGGTAGAATGTGATTATATGGAGTTGATTCCAGTTTACTCCAATTAGCCTCTTCTACTCAAATCCGACTCTCACCTTCACGATGGTGTCCCCTGTTAACTGAGCAACCCAGCTGGAGATCCGGTATCCAACTCCGGGTGGAAAGTTGGGTCGGGAACTGACGAGAGCGGGTGAAATGGCCCCCCGAAAAGGGGGTTTGGCGTTGGGTTAACTACCCAACCCTGTGAAAACCCATAGTTACGAAATCTAAAGTTAAAAATGCTGGACGGAAATCTCGACGACGACCTGTGCAACGAAATAAGGACAACGATCTTAAAGTATTTACCTGGAATGTTCGCACACTCAACAAACCTGGAAACATCCGAAAACTGTGTGACATATTAGCACAATATAACGCTGATATTACTGCAATACAAGAAGTACGATGGATAGGCCATGGCATAATCGAAAAACAAACTACAATACATGCTACAGTTGCCATATAACTACACATGAATTTGGGACAGCCTTTATAGTCTGTAATAAAGTCAAGCACTTGCTTATAGATTTAAAGCCAATAAATCCACGAATGAGCTGCTTAAGGATCAGGGGTAAGTTTTTTAATATTAGTCTTATTAATGTACATGCCCCAACAGAGGACAAGGAAGACGAAGAAAAGGACAATTTCTATGAGGAATTAGAAAGAACATATGACAGTTGTCCCAGAAATGACATTAAAATAGTAATCGGTGATCTGAACGCAAAAATCGGAAGGGACGAATATATCTTCGCAGCCGCAAAGAATATGATCATAGGAAGCACATGTTTTCTACACAAAAAAATACATATTTGGACTTGGACCTCACCTGATGGACTATCGAACAACCAAATTGATCATGTGATCATAGATGCTAGACACTTCTCAAACCTAATGGATGTCCGCACCTATCGAGGCGCCAATATTGATTCAGATCACTTCCTAGTTGGCACACAAATTCGAGCTAGAATCTCAAATGCGAAGAAGGAGAGAAGTACCAAAGCAACGCGTCTCAATATTGAAGTCCTCAAAAATCCGCAAACAGTAGAAAGGTTTCAAAACTATATCGAAATTAAACACATAATTCATGAGGACCTAACAATTAGTGAACAATGGGAAATGTGTAAAAATAATATTAAAGATGCACCAAATAATATTCTAGGGTCAGAAAGACCACCACCACGTAATGACTGGTTTGATGCTGAGTGTGAGGACATTACAAGAAGAAAGAACGATGCATATAAACTGAACGATGCAGCAAAGAAGAACCCGAGAAAAACAGCAAAAATATAAAGATCTCAGAAAAGAAGAGAAGTACATTCATAGAAGAAAAAAGCGAACTCACGAAAATAGAATATTGGAAGAACTTGAGGTATTAAAAAAGGAAAACCAAACAAGAAAATTCTACAAAACTCTGAATAATGCAAGAAAGGAATTCAAACCAAGGCTTAGACTATGTAAGGATAAGGAGGGGCATATACTAAATACAAAAGAAGAAGTACTAAAAAGGTGGGTGGAACACTTTAAAAAACTACTTACTATAGAAGTAGAAGATCCAGATCCAAATCAACCACCCGCAGGAGCAAGCAAAAATTCACCATTAGAGCCTCCGTCAATTCACGAAGTACGAGATGCAATAAAACACCTAAAAAACAATAAATCTCCAGGAAGTGATGGTATACCCGCGGAACTTATTAAATGTGGAGGTGGTACTGTGACTAATCAAATATATAAAATAATACTGAGAGAAATGAGGAACAAATCCCGGAAGAGTGGTGTATTGAAATCGTTTGCCCGCTACACAAAAAGGGTGACCAATTGGAATGTAGAAACTGTAGGGGAATAACCCTCCTTAATACAGCATACAAAATATTTTCGAGGATCTTATATGGTCGCCTAAGTGCATATTTAGAGGAACTTCTCGGAGAATATCAAAGATGTTTTAGGCCTGGTCGATCAACAACAGATCAGATCTTTGTGCTAAGACAAATACTGGAAAAGAACCACTGAATTCAATATCGATACATACCATCTTTTTGTAGACTTCAAATCTGCCTATGATAGTGTTCTAAGAAATAAATTGTATGAAGCCATGAATGAATTCCACATCCCCGATAAACTGATAAGATTGGTTAAGGCTACAATGCGTAATGTGGTTTGCGAAGTCGAAATACAGGGCTAACGATCACAGGCGTTTGAAACGGATGTTGGGCTGCGACAGGGAGACACGCTGGCGTGTCTCCTTTTTAACATAGCACTGGAAAAGGCGATCAGAGATGCCCGAATAGACAACAAAGGAAATATTTTTAATAAATCATCCCAAATTTTGGCATATGTAGATGATATGGACCTAGTTGCCCCAACACCCAACAATAGAGTCAGGAACATCGGTCCCCAATTCACAGTTGATAACTCTACCTTTGAAGTGGTGGACAAATTCACATACTTAGGCTCCCTGATCACCAAAGAGAACGCCATAACGGAAGAAATCAAGCGAAGGATAATAATGGCAAACAGATGCTATTTTGGACTGAGTAGACATGAAAAGTAGAAACTTAAGCCAAAAAACAAAAATAACCATATACAAAACCCTTATACAGCCAGTGTTGACATATGGATCGGAGACATGAACCATCTCCAAGGCAGACGAAGACCTTCTGCTTATATTTGAACGAAGAATCCTGAAAGGAATATTTGGTGGCATCTGTGAAAATGGTGTTCGGAGGAGGAGATACAACTACGAGGTATACCACAGATATAAACAAATATTTGATGGTAAAGACGTAGTATCTCTTATAAGAATAGGAAGACTAAGATGGGCAGGACATCTAGCAAGATCACAGCAGAACAACCCTCATAGAAGAATCCTTATGTCACAACCCGTGGGAAGTAGAAAAAGGGGTAGGCCAAAACTCAGATGGAAGGAAGGTGTAGATGAGGATGGTAGAAAGATAGGCGCAGCAAACTGGCAACGGTGGGCAATGGATAGGACTGCCTGGAGTAATAGACTTGGGAAGGTCGAGACTCTTTCATAGGGCTGTAGTACCATTGATGATGATGAATTATAATTTATTCTCTTTCAGCCCTGAAGAAGCTAAATTAATTCTCTTTGGCGAAAACGTTCGGCGAAACAATTGATACTCATTAGAGACTTTCTTGCAGATTTCCCCAATATTTAAGAGTTTACTATTTAACGTATCTCCAAAGATTAAATATATATATATATATATAT